AGAGGGGTACAGGCTCGAAGCCATTCTGCTGCCCCAACACCAGGACCCTCCTGGGCTGGCTGAGCCCCCCACCTTGGGGGCTGCCCCATCCGCCCGTTTCATCCACCTGACACCCCAAAGGCCTGTTTGGCCTCAGCTTCCCATGGCCAAGTTCAGGGAGACGAAAGCAGCTTGGGTAAAAGGCAGCTTTTTCGGCGCCCCTGCCAGGGTCTGCCCGACGGCGGGGAGACCTCCAGCTCAGCCCCTCCCTGTGGGGAAAGGTGGGAGCTGCTCTCTCCCCGTGCGCAGGAGAAGGACGAGGCTCAGGGAGACACAGCCGGCGAGCTGCGGGCGGCATTTCGTCTCCGCCTGATCTCAAAAGCAGGAGTCTCTCCCCTCTGCCGAGCTGAACCCACCCAAGAAACGCTCATTTGATGAGAGGGGGACCAGAATGCTCCCTCTTGCTGGTGAGGCCGGGGCAGCCCTCCGGACCGGCTGCCCAAACTTTGCAAAAACACATCAAGAGCTGTCAGAACCTCGTGAGAACGTCGGCGCCCTGGGCAGCTGGGAGGGGTCCCAGGACCCCACTCCTCCTCTCTACACTCAGGAGGTGGGCGATGGGGCAGGTAGACGCAGCAAAACCCCTTCTCAGGCCGGTTCTTAGAAACATGGAGCAGCCATGCCAGTGGGCGCCACCAGAGGGCACCGACTCAGGCAGGTGTGTGCAGAGCCTGGCACCTGGAGGAGGATGCAAAGATGCTGCAGGTAGGTACATTGGCTCCCAGCCTCTCCGGACCGTCTTACCTTTCCTGCCTTGCACTCAGGGCAGCTAGCTATCGCAGGCTGGTTCCACGGGGGAGGCTGACCCTGCCTGCAGCGCAGATCCCAGGTCAGGGAGGGAGCCAGTCAGCCGGTGCCAGCAGGGCCCAGGTGGGGACTTGGGCAGCTGGGGAGGCCTCGGCACCCCTCCTGTCAAGTCCGCACTTGAGCGTTTGGCCTGAGGGTGGCTCTGGCCACCTGATGTGCCCATCACACACCTGGCTGAGGTTTCTGGGGCCTCAGGTTGGAGTTTAGGCAAATGGGCTCTGCCTGAGACAGGGGTGCTGAGTGGCCAGCCTTCCCCACGGCAGCCAGAGAGAAAAGAGGAGACAAGAGGGCAAATCCCTTTGTGCTCAGGGTGCGAAGTTCCCTCCACCCACTGATGTGATTTTCTCCTCTTCTCCTACCTCTTAGCCCAAGCCAGAGCCGTCACCGGGACGGTGGCACCTGACACCCTCCAGTGCCTGCCCCACAGCAGCCAGAGGGACCTTGTAAAATGTCCGTGATGATGATGACAACTAAGGGCAGCAAACACTCTGTGGAACTTACTATGAGCCAGACACGGGCCTCAGCACGGGACGGGTATTAAATTCATCTTAATCCTCATCACACACCCATCAGTCCCATTTTACATATGAGAAAATTGAGGCACAGAATGGTCAAGTGACTTGCCCAAAGTCACACAGTGGGGAGGAAGCTGAGCTGGACACAACCCGGCGGTTTGGCACAGGTGATGGGCCGCTGGGCTACTCGTTGAGACAGGATCTGTAGACAGAGCGGGTGATGCTGGCACAGGGCTTTCCCCTCCATGACATGACGAGCATCCTAACCCCACCTCTCAGTTCTGTGATAACCAGACAGGGGTCTGGGGGCACCCTGTGCCGCCCGAGGCTGGGAGCCAGTGTCTTCCTCACGAGTGCCCCACGCCTAGTGCCTGGCAGGGCCCGTCTGCCCAGGAAGGGGCCAGGCTCTGTGCTGTGAAGACAGAGACGGAGTGGAGGGGCTTGGCCAGCTCCTTGAGCCCCAAAAGGCCCAGGGGCTGTGCTGTGGGGCCCTGCGTGCCGGCACACCCCATCATCTGGGCTGGCTTGTACGGCCCTTTCCATCTGGGCACAGGTGAGAAAGGCCAGCTGTGGTCTCCCAGCCAGGAAGCAGACAGCCTGCCGTGCGGCTCAAATGCCCACCGCTGTCCTTGCGTCCCAGGGGGAAGCCAGGGGGCCTGGCAGGTCCCCGTAAGACAGGGGAGTCTTGGGGGAAGGATGCCAGCAGTTCACCAGGACCGCCGCAGGGGACTCCTGTCACCGACGAGGGAGCTGGTCCTGAGCAGAAGGACATGGACAGGCTTTGTGGGGGTGGAGGAGGGAAGAAGGCCGGGAAACGGCGGACAAGGCAGGACTCACCGTCAGGGCGCCACTCGGCAAGCTGGGTGCTGGGCGGGCCAGGACAGGTCCCCGACCGGGACAGACAGCGTCCCACAGCCAGGAGACTGACCATCCCCGTGTTAGCGCTGAGAGTCCTGCCTCCGGTGATCCCTCAGTCCCACGGCTCTGGGTGACAAAGGGGACAGGCCTGGCCAAGCGCCCGGCCTTGGGTTGGACGTGGATTTGAGCTTCATCTAAGGACCAGCGTGGCTTGAGCACCTACTGTGTACAAGGCATGGCCACGAATTCACTTATTCGGTTTGAGAACAGCCCAAGGGAGCCGGTCTCTCTGTGATCCTCATTTTATAGTCGCCAAGGATGAGGCACGAGGTGGAGTCCAGAACACACGCTCGGGAAGTCCTGGCAGCAAGCACCCAGGACGGCCTGGCTGCTGTGATTATCTCACACACACGTGTGTACATGCACACATACAGACACACACGCAAAAGTGTATGCACACGTGCATACAAATGTGCACACAAACACACACAAGTGTATGCACACACACGAACACACACAAACGCATACACACATGCCACGAACAGATGCATACACAAACACACACTCACACATGCACACACAAACGTGCACACAAGTGCATGCACCCGCATGCATACATGGACACCCACAAACGCGTGTACACACTAACACAAATGCACACACACAAACACAAATGTGCATGCATGCATACGAACACACACGCACACACAAACATGCACATACCAGTGCACGCACACTGGCACACACACACACACGCATACACACCCGCACAGGAAATCAGGGACCCTGCCACATGCCCCAGTTGCATTTCTCTCTCCACAAGCAATATTTTGCAGCTTTTCCAAGTCCCTGGCCACACTGCCTTTGCTATCTTATTAGATTTCGTACTGGAGGAAGGGGACACACTCTTTTTAAAATTATAACCATAATTCTAGCTAACGGTGTGCAGTGGAACTTGCTGCCCCGAGGGAATCCTTTAATTTAGCTTTAAATGTTCTCAGCACCTGGGACTTCTCCCTCGGGATGACCCAGAGCGAGAATCTAGACCAGAGCCGGGAACTGGAGCTTGCAGTTTGGAGAGACTCAGGTGGGAACCGTGTCAACGGGCTGGGGTGTGCTGGTATCGAGAGGGTCAGGCCTGTGGCCCCGCCAAGGCGCCAGGAAACTTGGGTTCCCACGGGCATGTTCTCCCCACAACCTCTGCGGTGGCTACAGCCCAGAGACCTGGCCTGCTGCTCACAGCCACAGCAATCAGCCCGCTTCTGGGCCCTCGTGACGTACTGACCCCTCCACCTGGGCTCCCTGCCTGAGCCCCCAGTCCCAAACACACATCGAGGTTGCAGGATGGAGCCCGACGCTCCTCCCGACGTCCCCGATCTCAGCTGGGGACATGGTGTTGGGCATGACCGTGGCCAGCAAGACTCACTGCGGGCAGGCTAGGCGAGCCCAAGTGCTTTCGGAGGCCTGGGAGGCGAGATGGGGGGATCGGGTGACACACCGGACCAAAGGGGGCATTCAAACCACACTGGAAACCCTGTGCAAGCCGAGAAAACACAGGTCCGCAGGCCCGCCCTGGCCACCATGGCGAGGACAGAATTCAAGGAGGCCCTCGTGAACCCTGCGTTGCAGACTCGGGAACCAGGAACCTGGGTCACAGTCCTGCCCCAGCTATGCATGGCTGTGTGACCCCTGGCCTCAGTCCTCTCATCTGTGAAATGGCAGGAGACAGTGCCCCTCACAGAGGGGTTGGGAGGGAAGGAGGGGGGCAAGCTGACGCCTGGACCAGGCCCTGGGCCCTGCCGCGAGACTGCGGCGAGATTAGCAGAGACGGCTGCTGCTCTGATTGTCCGACCAGCACCGCACCCGGCCTGCTGAGGCTCCAGCAACGAGCCCATCCCCGGGAAGTCCCATCCTCGCCTAGAAACTTCTTAAGGCAGCATGACAGGGTGGGGAGTATGCTCCGGGGCTGGAGCTCTGAGTGTGAATGCAGCACTCCCGGCTGCTGGGGAGATGGGAGACGGGGGGAGCACCCAGACCCCGAGTCAGATGCTGAGGGGGGTCCCTGCTCAGTCTGACTTATGCTGGCCTTGTCTCCTCATCTAGAAAAGGAACAAGAATGGGGTTTCCCCCACCTGGGGCCGCCTCAGAGACCGCTGAGATGCTCTGTGTGCACCAGCCACGCGGGCATGTAACACCCAACCAGCTGGGACCACCACTGTGGCTGCTGGGGGTTTGTCAGCCTCTGGTGCCCTGACCTGGGCCCTCTGAGCCTCAGTTTCCTCATCTGTGCCGGGGTTCCTCCTTGCTACGAGTGTGAGCATTAATCCTGGATAAGGCACGTCTGCATTAAACGCGGCGCAGAGCTGGCTGGTGGCCTCGGCTCCGTCTCTGCACACATTTCACTTTTAGGACCCAGGAGCCAACGCACAAGGAAAGGAAACAAGTCCCCAAACGCCAGCAGCAGCCCAAGCCACCCCAGGAAGCTCAGCCCGGCCTCCCACACCTGCCCTGCGTGGTCACCAGGGGCGCAGTGCTCATGGAGATGACCCTGGGCCCCGCTGCTCTCAGGAGACAGTCTGAGCCGGGGCAGTCGGCAGAACTCTGTTTTTAAAGCATTCTCTGCACCCAGGTTGGAATAAAACTGATGTTCTGCTCACCCTGCAGGCAAGCCCTGAGTTCGAGAAACCAGGAGCCGTGGTGCACGGAGGTTTTGCTTCCCCTGGCCCCCACAGGAGCCTCCTGGCTCCGCTCCAGCCCCCGCCCCGCCCGGCTGCTCCTTACCCAATGTGCCAAGGCTGCTGGGGCCTCTTGCCATCCTCGCCGGTGCCGCCCAGCCTGTTGAGCGACGGGGACCGGCTGCGGGGCCCAGGGGTGTAGCTGCCGATGGTCTTCAAGGCCCCATCGGGCTTGCTGGGCACCTGCTGCAGCAGCTGGGGCGAGAGGCTGCGGTGGGAGGCGGCGGAGCAGACGGCCCACTCGGGTGTGCTGGCGTTGAGGTTGTTGTCACTGTTGGAGCGCAGCAGGAGCCGGGGGGCGGCCAGCGTGGCGGGGGGCCGCCGCCTGCGGTTGGAGTATGCCGGGGCCTCTCGGAAGGGCACTGGGTAGGAGAGAACGGGGAGAGGCGGGTGAGGGCAGGCACGTCACCATCAGGGCCGGGGGGGCACAGGTCCCTGTGTGAGCTGAGCAGCAGGGCGCCGAGAGTTCTGCATCGAGCCCCCTGCGGGACCCCACAGTGTGCAGAGCTCACCCCAAGACAGAAGCAGAGACGGGTGGAGACCGAGAACGTCTCCATTTCACAGAGATTCAAGCTAGCGCTTGAGATGGAAGCGACTCGGGGTCTGCCTTCCATCCGGGCCAGCGCCCACTCAGTCAGCAGCCCGGGAGACACGTGCGAGGGGGGCCGCCCCGTCTCACAATGCATTCAGGACACTGAGGCAGCCACAGAGTTCCTCCTCGCCACGACCTGAGCCTGGTCCCTGTGATGAGCTGATGGTGCCTCCCTGAAATTCATGTGTTGGAGTCCTCATCTCTGTATCCTCCAAATGTGACTGTATTTGGAGATGGGTCTTTAAAGAGGTGATGAAGTTAAAATGGGGTCATCAGGGTGGGCCAATCTGACTGGTGTCCTCATAAGAAGAGGAGATCAGGACACAGACACGCACAGAGGGACGATCACGTGAGGACACAGGGAGAAGACAATTGTCTACACACCAGGGAGAGAGGCATCAGGAGGAACCAGCCCTGCCCACACCTGGATCTCGGACGTCCAGCCTCAGGACTGGGAGACAACCAATGTCTGTGGTTTAAGCCACCCTGGCTGTGGGATTTTGTCACAGCAGCCCCAGAAAACTCATACAGCCCTCCAAATCTGCTGGTCAGAATTAGTCGGCCCTAATCCTAGACACACTCTTTTCTCCACCCATCTACCCAGGATGGGCAGCGGGAGACAGGAGGTGGTGGGCACGCCTCATCCGGCTTCTTACTAAGTTCTAGACTAGAGGCAGGACCCTGACTCTGCCGAGTTCAGCATGCCCGGGGACTCAGAATGAGGACAGCACCCACGGGGACTGTGAGGGCTGGCCTCCACACTGCAGCCACCCCGGGTGGCTCTGAGGGCTGGAGCCAGAAAGAGAATGTGTCCTTTCCAAGAAGAGGCACCTGGAGAGGCTGCAGGGGCCGTGAGATGCCAAGGACCCCCGGCAGCAGAGGACACGGGCTTCCCCGGAGCGTCCACACCGCAGGCGGCTTCCCTGCTGGCCACAGGGCGTGCCGCTTTGGGCCGAAGCCACCGAGCTGTCCAGTCTGCAGCCTGAGGCCAGGGCTGCCACAGCGCCAGCTGCAGCTGCAGAGCCACAGCAAACAGAGATAACCCCGGGGGGCTGATCTGGAGACGGAATCACGGCGTCCCAGAGGAGAACAACGTCACAAGTAGTTTAGGACACGGTCCTGGACAATCTATCGCCCCTGGCTGGCCAAGGTCAGAGGCCACACTGAAGGACTTCATGGAAACTGAGAACTGCTGCCCCCTTCACAGAGCTGGAGTGTGACATCAACTCTGCTACCAGCCCATGGGAGACAGAAGTGTGCTGGCAGAGCTCATGGGGGACAGAGGTGGTGCTGGCAGAGCTCCTGGAGGTGGGGCAGAGGTGTGCTGGCAGAGCTCACTGAGGACAGAGGTGGCACTGGGGGAGAGGTGGTGCTGGCAGAGCACACTAAGGGACAGAGGTGGTGCTGGCAGAGTGCACTGGGAGAGAGATGGTGCTGGCAGAGCATACCGGGGGAGAGGTGGTGCTGGCAGAGCTCCACTGAGGAAGAGGTGGTGCTGGCAGAGAGCCCTGGGGGATAGACAGTGCTGGCAGAGCACACTGGGGAAGAGATGGTGCTGGGAGAGCACACTGGGGACAGAGGTGGTGCTGGCAGAGCGCCCTGGGGGAGAGACGGTGCTGGCAGAGTGCACTGGGGACAGAGGTGGTGCTGGCAGAGCACACTGGAGGAGAGATGGTGCTGGCAGAGCACACTGTGGACAGAGGTGGTGCTGGCAGAGTGTACTGGGGGAGAGATGGTGCTGGGAGAGCACACTGGGGACAGAGGTGGTGCTGGCAGAGCGCCCTGGGGGATAGACGGTGCTGGCAGAGCACACTGGGGGAGACGGTGCTGGCAGAGCACACTGGGGACAGAGGTGGTGCTGGCAGAGTGTGCTGGGGGAGAGATGGTGCTGGCAGAGCGCACTGGTAGAGAGGTGGCATTGGCAGAGCTCCACTGAGGAAGAGGTGGTGCTGGCAGAGCGCACTGGAGAAGAGGTGGCGTTGGCAGAGCTCCACTGAGACAGCTGTGACCCAGTGACCCCTTCGCCGCCTCGCCGGGAAGCAGGGCAGTCCTGGGAAAGCAGAGACGGAGCCAACCAGGGAAAGCTGCAGGAAACGGCACGAGGCTTCCTGAAGCTGCACACTCAGAACTCACGTTCTGCTTCAGCACAGTTGGGGAGAATGGAAAACGACACATCGGGGAGGTCACGTTCTTTTCAATTAGGCAGCAGCGTGCTCTCATTCCAACCTGCTTCCTCTGTGAAGGCTCTTCGTCGGAGCAAGACGCACATTACTCAGCTAGGGCCCTTGGCTGGGACTTGCTCCTAGTCTGAATTCCTCAGAGCGGAAGAACTCACAGATGCCAGCCTGGCCGGGAGGGATGGGGAACCGGAAAGGCTGACGGCGTCCTTTGAGGACCCGTCTCTACTGCCCAGGGGGCTGCCCTCTCCATTTGGGGAATCAGCCAAGGCCTTACCCACCTCCTAGAAAAATCTCAGTTTGGTGAAAAGTCCCCGAGTTTGTGCTTCGCTGGTCATGAGGGAGAACCATATCAGTGTCACTCTGAGCAGACAGAGGTCAAACAGATTTCTGGAACGATGAAGAGCTCATCATTTAGGGTTTGAAAAATGCCCCTGGTGGGTGCTCTGGGATCCTGAGACCTGCCTGATGAAGGGGTGGAGGGATTGGAAGACCTCACAGGGCGGATGGTTCCGCAATCTTACAGAGCGATTGTCTTTCATTCACACAGACTGGTGGCTGGGGGAGCACATCACAGGGAGAAAGCCAACATCTCCAGCAGACACATCAAGCAGAAAGACAGCAAGTTCTACCAGGCGGATAGAGCCCCTCGGCTTCCTGGAGCATCTCCACCTCCCCCATCCTGAAGGAGAGGCCAGGGCTCACGCTAACCATGGGCAGGGGACACCCCAGCTCCAAGGGGATGCTCCCAGACGCGGAAACGTCTGCATTCTACGGCATGAACTCATGCCCAGCCTCCCAGCTTCCCTGACGACAGTCGGTTCTATTTTTCTGACCAACATAACTGAGGAAGGCATTGGTGCTCTCAATGGAAAGTGATGGAATGTGGGGGCAGTCCTGCCAATGGCTAAGACAGACTCATAAGGGAAGAAAAGTCTATGAGAGAACAGAACAGACACAGAACGAACCTAACACCATACCCCCAACTAAAATGTCCATGCTGTGCATGGATTACAGAAACTGAAGTCCCAGAAGGCGAATCTGGGTTAATCATATAAGAAAACGAGCACAGACAAAGGCTGTTTTTTATATAAATTCCTAAGAAACAGGCTGAAGGGGGCTTTCTGAGAGTGCGGGCTTGGAGAGCGGTAAGAATTCACATGGGGCAGCTGCCCTCGGAAGAGGAAGGTATATCAGAGCTGGGACACTTTCAAATACATTCTGCCCCTCATAAGGATCACGCGAGTTACTTAAATGGAATTGCACAGGTGACATTAGGGCAAACATTCTCATGAAAATTATCTTGCATAATTACCAAGATTACATTAGATTAGTTTCCCATGCAATTTAATTGGAAATCTTTTCCATGTTTATTTTACGGCTCGGGTTGGCAAGTACCTTCCTAATTCCTCTAAAGTAACGTCTTCATAAACCCCATTTCATGCAACGAGAGCTCTCCGTCTGACAAACGAACTGGAGCCATCCGTGGCAACGCTGATTTTTTTGGTGTGTGTGCAAAGGGTTAAAAATAACTCTTTTCCTGTCTGAAAATGATTAATATTCCACCCAACTGTTTCCTTCTTTCAGGCGATCTGCAAACTCTAAGTGGGTGGATATTTTCTTAGCTGTCTTACATGCATTTATTTATACATTTTTTTCCACAATAAAAATCACACAAGGTATGACAAAAAGCATATGCACTTTTAAAGTCGGCCACGCTGCATTTCCCATCCGCTCTGTGAAATTGAGACCCAGGGACAGCTTGGGAAAGCCCAGAAGTGGTTCTGAGAGCGTCCACCCGGCCGGTGCGGCCAGCAATGAGTCCTAACCTTCCTGATTCCTGAGCGATGCTTGGCCGCCTCCAGGCAGCGGACAGTCTAAGAGCCAAAACTTCCTTCATTCTGCCTAGAACTTGCTTCCTAACATGCCCTTTGGCACAGTCACCATAGAAGCACACGCTGGAATGCAATCCTGCAAGGGGCTGGAGACTTAAAAAAAAAAAAAAAGAAATCAAACGGCACCTTCAAGTGGGTTAAAATTCCAGACCACCAACAACCAAGTCCTCCTGTGCCCAGAAGTAATTATTCCCTTACACAAGAATGAACCACAGCAATTTTAGGAGGAACTGGAGTCCCCCTCTCCCCCAGAGAATCCGCGAGAAACTGCTCCTTCCCGTGCACCTTGCTCCGTACGGCTTTCTCCTTACCTTCCTTCTTGGTGAAGGCATTTAACAAAGACTTCATTTTCCCTCTGACTTTGGCAGCGGTCCGCTCATTATATAACCTTCTCGGATGGGAGGAAGGAAAGGAGCGCTGCCCGGCCCCTCGGCGCTGGAGCGGCTCGGACCCGGGGAGCGGCGGCGGGCGTCTGGGCACTGCGTGCTTCCGAGCATAGCTGGGCATGCCACAGCCAGCGCGCCGGTGACAGAGCCCACCCCATGTTCTGTCTGTCAGCTGGGAACCAACTGTGCGTAGACTGGGGCCGCTCTCAAGCCCGGCTGCCTCTCCCGGCGCCTGTCATGTGAACAGTGCCTCTCTGCTTTTGTGATCGGTGCATCTGGGAGGAGGGTTAACAGGAATCAGCATCCTCCAGC